AATTTCTGCTGTTTAATACCTAAAAAAAGTCAACTCGTATATGGTGTCCAAGGTGTGCCAAAATTGGACATACTGTACAACACCTGGAGATTTATTTATTAAAAGTCCTGCAATTTTTCAGTTTCACTTTGGAAGCATAAATCTTTGTTTATAAATTGATTTCTGCTTTTCTGGATTACAGTGTCAATTAAAGCATATTTTAAAAAGGATTATATGCTAGAAATTATTTGCTATTATATTGTATGTTATATGCTAACAAATAATATCACAAAAGACTGCATGAAATTGAAAAATTTGGACCATTCAATCCCAAATTCATAGCAGACTGACTCCATCTTATTGCTGCTTTTTCACTGTCTTAATTCACAAAAGTTGCTGTGAAGACGTGACGTGATGGCTCAGCGCTTGCAGACCTGGTCCCCGTCTCCAAACCACTAAAATATTGGACCTTAAAGTGGACTCACTCTGATCATTTCCAGCCTTATATTTGAATTCTAACTGCATGACTCACAGCTCGTTCCTTATCGATCTTAAACTGAGCCTTGGTGAAGCCCCTCAGTTTATCCACTGTTTGAACCAACTATAAGGCCACTCTTGCTTTGATACGACTTTTTTCTGATTTTTTGGCCCTCAAAAACAAAAGACACTGAACATGCCACTAGCTACTACAAAAATGGATTTGATTGTGCTGGACTGAGTGTTCCTAATAAAGTGCTTATACTGTCTTATACTAAGTACAATGAACACATCAGTCTTACCTTCATCTCTGTTCCAAACAGCTAATACCCTGAAGATGAAGGCACTGAAAGTCGCAGCAAAGAAGCCCCTCCAATAGTTCCTCACAGCAAAGAATGTGGAAGTTACTTCAATACTGAACAGCACACCTGAAACACACAAACACCACAATGCATGAGCACTGACATTTAAAATATGCACAAACAAGTGAAATGGACTTTTCTTGACATGCAGACTTCATGTAACACTCATGTAACAACAACATTTCCTTGCGTTGCACACAGATGAATTTGTCCGCCAGCGTCTGTATTCAGACATGATCTCCATTTTTGGAAGTGTCATTTACCTCAGTTAGCTCAGGCTTAGCAAGATGAATTCATGGTGGGGTGGAAGCACAGGCTGAAGAAAAACCAGCTAGAAGCTAAATAAATTATGTCACTGATACAAAGGCGTGTAGTGTGCTCCAAGGCTGTTCCAGGGCTCTAAATTTAACTTGAGATGATACGAGGGTGTGCAGAAAGAGAATACCTCCGCAAAAAAACATCTCCCATGAAACAGCACTGATTGCTCCATCCATTTCAGCAACATGAAGCCCATTATATGTTAAGTGGGTTACACATTGTAAAAGTTAAACAGTGCTTACACATTTAGCTCATTACAGAGTGCGACAGGCTTCAGGTACTACATCACGTTTGCTTTAGACTCACCTCCTATGGGGGCAGCGAAACAGCAACCAACTCCCACGGCACAGGCTGCTGCCAGCATCTCTATGTTCCTCGACTCATTCTGAAACCACACAGTGGTTAGATTTCAGTCACCAGCAGTCATTCAACAGCAACCACAACAACAACAACACCAAAAGTTGTTGTGAAAAGGAAAGAAGTGAGTCAATTCATTACATTTTTTCCTATGACACACTTTTAATAAGACACCTAAGCAAAAAGTGCATCCGGAAAGGATTCTGTGTTTCATTTGTTCCACATTTTGTCATGTCACAGCATTATTCCAAAATGGTTTCACCTACACCCTCCATATACATGCTCCATAATGATGAAGTGAAAAAGGTTTGCTTAAATTTATTTTTTCATCAAATAAAAAAAAAAAAAACCTCCTCCTACTACTCATAACAACAACAACAACAATAATAGTAATAATAATCAACAATTAACAAGCAAAATAAAATATTCCTAAATCAAAGCAAAATTGAATTTCAAATGAGTACAAAACAAATTGGATGTCTTAAAAACAAAACAAGTCAAAAAATATTTTAAAAAAAAAATACCATGGATATATGGAAATAATTTTTTATATTTTAAATTAAACAGTAATAATATTAATGCTGGATCATATAATGAGCTGTGTCGTAAGACAGTCAGAAAGACAGTGGGAAAGGGACAATCATGCTGCATGAGCGCGGGATGGACTGTGGTGCATTATGGGAATGGAGGTTTTTTCCTTTCTTTTTGACACTTCTGGTCTTATTTACCTTCATTCCTATGAGACCGATGTCCTTCAAGCAGCATGGCAGTGGTAAAGGAAAGTTACTGCGTGTTTTACTTTCACAACAGAATATTTTATGTGGAAAAGTTGGTGTGGACGAGAAGGTGCATGTAAGGCTTAATACTTAGTAAAACAAAGGAAACTTCAGAGAACTTTCCTCTGTGAATAACAAGTAGGGATGCATGGATTATGAACTGTGAATTATTCTGAGCAGATTCCAGGATTGCACATGCAACTTTGTCTGATGCAGATTTTTGTTGTCTTTATTTTGTTTGTCTCATTTCCCCTGTTATCCCACCAAAACACACACAAAAAAACACTGAAAAAAAGATGTTTTTCAGTCTATCAAACATTTTTTGAACATTTAGAAGAAACACCCTCACCCCCACCCCACCCCCCAAAAAACAAAACAACAAATCATGTAATACTACACTGGCCAGGGCCATCTTATTTGCTGACATTAGTCAGCAGAGCCTACAAATAAGCTGATCCCCACTAAAAAACTGAATCACACACTAGCTGCTTAAAATCAGCAAAAACATGTAGCAAAAAAAACCTCCAAAACAAACCACTTAATAAATAATCTTTACTTGCAAATTATAACTTATTACTTCTTCGGAATTACCAAAAATCCAAATGTTAAAAAAGGGTTGGCCACTTACCTAAAGGGAAGTTCTAACCCAAAAGACCAAATTATTTATATTTCTGTTCCCTCTGCACGAGGCTTAGTTACTCCAAGTTCAGAAAGTTACTGCTTATCTCCGTTGTCACAGATTTTATTTTAAACTGATAAAATTCAGTTTACCTGTAGATTCAAACAGATTCAATCTACTTTCAAAAATATAAAAGGATAAAGTAGAAATGAGTTTTTAGATGTTTTGTCTTCATTCATCCTTCCTGCAACTCAAAGGCATGATGCCGATATCACCATGCTTCACTATAACAGCTGCGGTGATGAGCTACACATTATGCCTGGACTTCTCCCCAAACAGTTCCACTATTGTCTCGTCAGAACAGATGATCTCCTCCCTAATGGACTCGTTTAAAGTACTCTGAGTGAACTATCCTTTGCCCCACTGTATAGTGTGAGAGGTCTATGGAACTGCTCTACCAGGACTGATGATACAAGATGGTCCTCTGTTTTGCAAGTTCTCCATCTTTTGGAGGACTTCTAAAAATCTGCCGGAGTTACCTTTGAGTTCTTGGACACTTCCCAATCCACAGTGTTCTGTTTGGCCATTACAGACCAAGTGACCTCCAATCGACTTCTAGACAAATCTGAAGTAACACTAAAGTTCCACTAAAGTACTTAAAGAAGGACAGACTTGCTGTTTTTATTTCTAATAAATCATAAATAATAAATGCAGATAAAGTAAATTCTCAGTTCATTTTCACTAGACTCAAATATTGTTGGGTATGAAGAGTACACACAGTGGCTTTGATAAAGCTTTACAAATGCTAATAAAAGAGAGTGTGTGTTTTTGCTCTTCTCTTTCTCCTTTCTTTTAGTCTTTAACTGTATTTGAACAGTGGGTTATGCATGTATGTATGGGCTTACATAAGAAATAAAAACAAATCTTTTAACCTCTTAAGCCCCAAGCCTAGCTGATCTCCTGCCTTTTGCCCCCGTATCAGGGGGCGTTGGGGCTTAAGAGGTTAATGGAGCCTGACTAATAATTTTAAGGTGAAACAAATGGGGAAAAAAACTTCATTTCTAGGCTTAAAACTAGTGCTGTCAGCGCTAATCTCGTTAAAACGGCACGCCGTCAACGCGTTAGCGCATTATCGCATTAATGCGTTAGCGCCGTTCAGCCCCATGCACGGGCGATCTGCACTAACTCGTTAATGGAGATTTGCGGCGTTAATGCGGTTATGGTATTAGCGTCATTTTAACGAGATCAACGCTGACAGCACTACTTAAAGCATGTTTTGTAGACTGGATAGTGGAATAAGTAACAAATGGAGCTCAGTAAATCAGTTTGACTTTAGCTGTAGGGATGAAGGAACGTTCATGCCGGGAATTTTGCAGCTGAATTACCTTAATCCCTGTAACACCGGGCTCCTACAGGAAGTAAGAGACACAAGTTAAGCTAGCAAAGAACAAATGCAAGAGTCTTTTTCATTACTGCCTAAACTCGCTGTGTGATGCTACAAGACTCAAGAAACCGAGTCCCCGGTGTTTTAGCATTAAACTCAACATTTCCTCCGCTGACATTTACAGCTCAAATAAAACACATTTTATCTTATAATATCTAATCAAATGCCAGCTGTATTCAAACAAGAGTACTCAATGTGTATGGGAAAAATATGAAGTGCAAAAAAGAAAAAAGAAAAAGCTGTTTGTTTGTTTTTTTTAAAGTATGGCACTCTGAAACAGAAAGGTAATTTTTACAGCCCGCAGGCTGCATTAGTGTACTGTATTTCAACCACTAGAGAGGACCAGATACTGCTGCAAAGGGACTCTTCACACATCCACACAGGCAAATACACACTCAGCATTAATATGCCATAAAATGCATGACAACACTCTGGAGGGATGGAGAGCAGGATGGAGTAACAGAGGGTTACAGGTAGACTATTTAATGAGGCCCATGATAGGGTTTTCAGAAGAGACTAATATAAAGGAAGAGAGGCAGATGGAAAATTTAACAGAAAAATAAATAGCGGAACGAGAGGGAAAATAATGGCGTGGAGGGGCAGAATGCATTGAATGACGGTTGTAAACTAATTACTGCTGCTACATTTAAATTGGCTGGATGTAAAAGTCAGAACAGTCCGGAACTGTTTGTTTTCACGTATACGTACATACGCAAAAGCAAAGAGCATTTTTACTACTTTTTTATCTTCACCTGAAGTGAAATCAGATAATGAAATGCGAATTTAAATGGACTCTAGTACATTTTTTATTCACAACAATTAGCATTAAAACTATCTTTTGGCTGCACGGTGTGTTATATATTCTCAGAAAGACATTTCAAAAGGTCAAATCTATGCACCAACTGCACGACTCTTCCTTCTAGAATAGCGTTGCACGAGTCACACTTAAATTGATTCTTATTTGTCATCTTGTACTAGGCCTTGAAAAAGAAAAAAAGAAGAAGCTATTTTTGCAGCATCTCCCATTACCCAGCTTTCCTCTAATTGCCTTCCCTTTGTAAATACAAGGTTTGAATCCAGGTGTGCTCACAGACTTGGCTGTATGCATGAGAAGGACATATAGGGAACACCAAGGAAAGAGCTTTGTATTTTTAGCTAAGAGATACAATATAATTGTTCAGGCAGCTGTGGGGTATTATGTCTAAATGTGCAAATCCGCCTTAAGTATTCATACCCTGGTGTATTTATTTATATTCACAATATGTGGCCTTATTTTAGAAAGCATTCTGTCCACTTTATTAAGAGAGTTTTATCGGTTTTGGACAAAAACTTATTTTGGAAGAAGTTAGCCGGCCTGCATGACAACTTTTTCTAACAAAGTCATAGTCAAGTTTATTTCTACAGCACAACAAAAGCTGTTGACCAAAGTGCTGTGCATCTAAAATAATCAAATGACATAAAAGCATAGGGCAAGAATTTAACAAAAGAAACAAAACGAGAAGGCCTGATTCCTTTTTTGCTTTAATCTGGACCTCGGGAAAGCTAGAAGGATTTGGTCAGCAGTTCTCAATAATCTTGAAAAAGTGTGCAAACTACCAGGATGAACTACAACACGGGTCAAAGCAATCACAGGAACTTTGACGTGAATATAGTGTGAAGAGAGACTTTGGGTGGCATCATAATAGAGCAATAAAGTCCATGTAGCGAGTAGGTGCAGGTGGCTGGATGGGTCAGCAAAACATTATCTGATATTTGTATTGGCAATACAGTGTTTACCTTTAGCTTAATGGTGTATTGTTGATGCGGAGTAGGGATACAGTGGCTACAGCGTAGACCCTTTTCCCAATACGCCAGCTTTGTTTTGTACTTTCTTCAACTTCTCAACTTTTCACCCCCCCAAACAGACATGCTCACATCTCTTGAGAAAAACAAAAAGTCAAAGGTTTTTCTGATTTCCTTCAGCTCCCAGCTTCCTCTCCCAATGGATACACACTCAGCGTAATTTCCATCTGACTTTTTTTTTCTCTTCTTCTCCCTATTCTCATTAGCGCTTCCAAAATTTCCATCTCAATCAATGAATACGTTTCTTGGAAGAAACGATGAAAAGATGTATTTGTGTACAAATAAAAGTGATTCAAACTTCAAAAAACAGGATATAAGTGGTTGTTGACTATACATGAGCTGCAAGAGAGCAATTCCTGAAGACAGAAGAAGAAAAAAACCTGAACTTTTTAACTGCCCAAATAACAGAGGGACAAAAAGTTAGAAACGAACTAACAACTAATAGCTCTATGTTGAGCCTATGTGCTCCATAAAAAGTAATTAAAAAGAAAAAAGCTGCAGGCTTCAGCATCCCAAAAATCCACCAACCCTGCTGGAAATAAGTTCCAGCTCTAGTCTTCACCCTCAAATATTCTTTTTGTTCTTCCTTCCCCGTTTCTCTTTATCATTAACTTTCTTTCAGGCCTTCTGCTCTCTTTTTTTGTTACTTCAAACTCAAACAGCTTGAAAAAAAGAAAAGAAAAGAAATGTCAGCACCCCCTCCTTCCACTGTGTTCGTAATCTCTTAGCTTTTGTTTAGTTTTTAGTTTTATTTCCTGCACTTTTCCCTGACCTGGGGATTTTGCAAAGGTTGGCTCAAGATATTGCAAAGTCGCTTTTGTGAACCGTTCTGAACAACTGAAACTGCCCTCCATAAATTCCCTGCCTACACTGAAAGACCCATACATACTATGCATGAATTTGCATCTTAGAGTAAATAGACTTAAATCTCACAAATCCATGTGCCAGTAATTACAAATTTAATTGCAGATCCACCAACTCTAGATTGCATGAGTTACATTCATACAGTTACATTTTGAGTCTATACTCACATATAGTGGGCATTTTGGATGAGAAATTCATGTATATACTTTAAACTAACTCGCTATTGTTTGCTTGTCATTCCTAAACTCCCCTAAAATCTGTCATTCCTAAAATCCCCCTCTAGAACTCAAATTTTCAATTTTCTGATTCCATCTAAATGTCAAAGCAGTTGGTACGTCTAACCAGAAATGCATCTATTAGGTCTCCTTCAGAAACACAATAGTAACTTTAAGGGGGTTCATTTATATTTTCATATCTATTTAGCTTTGAGTGCCCACATTAACACTGATGCAGGTGCAAAAATGTTGAATCTTTTAGTTTTTGTAAAAATTTAGGAATACGCTTATTTATGTGCAACACGGCCTCAGAATTTTTGGATAAGTCGGATCAAGGGGGTATCTTGTAAAGTTAGTCTTAAAAAAAAAAAAAAAGAAAAGAAAGAAAAAAAAGATTCTCTCTTGTGTTACTGATCCTCTGCTGCAGCTCAGCAGGGGCACGGTCTGTGTCAACATACAGGGGTACACTAAGACTTTCACTATGTTTGTATAATTCAGCCACATATTTGTTTAAAATTTCAGACTCTTCATATAACAGGCAGCACGGATTTTGTCCCTCATCATTTCCACTGGAAGCACTGTATAAGGTGGTCTTTCATGTGAACATCACACATGTTTTGTTCAAACGTTTGATCAGTTTGATCGGTTTTCATAATCTCGGGAATTAAAAATGTACTAACGCTATGCTAATTAATTCAGGTATGTATGTATTTGGTTAAGTAGCAACCAAGGCTTATTGTCTATTTGGTACAATTCTAGCAAGTACTTGGAAAAGAGAGTTTTTCATCTAGTGTATATCTGGCATTCTGATCAGGCCTATTCTAAATCTTATTTTGATTTGACTTCTGTTTTTTATCTAGATAGAACTGTAGTTTAAACATTTGCTAAATTGTTCAAGTTTTAATGAAATGAAAATACAATTTCAATCTCAAGAATAAGAAATATTTTTATACAAATTCCTCAATCATATATATTTGTACATTTCACAGGTCAGCTGAGTATAGAATGGAATGGCAGATTAGAATTAAATAGATGTTGGCCTTGGAATCACACCAGTGCATAACACCCTCAGAGGGTCTCCGGTATCCCTTTTTCAGCCCTGGCCTCTCTAACAGGTTCCCGTGTATTGACACTGAAAGACCACACAGTAGCAATCTCCAGCATTGCTTCTTTGACCCCGGGCAAAAGTGACAAAAACACAAACTGGGTTGGAAAAGGATATTAACAGCAAATTATACTGCAAAAATTAATTAAACTGCTCCAATAATTATCACTTTGGCTTTTTTTTTTTTTTTTTAATTTTCACTCCCCCAACCCCAACCAGTTGCGGCAGATGGCTGTCCTTTCCTGCGCCTGGTTCTGTCGGAAGTTTCTTCCCTTTAGAAGGAAGCTTTTCCTCCCCACAGTTGCTAAATGCTTGCTCACAGGGAATAGTCTGATTGTTGGGGGAACTAGTAATTCTTGTGAAAAAAAAATAGCCTTAAATAAATAACAACTAAAAAAACAGATGAATATGGTCTTGAACTTGGGTACAGTTTTGCTTAAAAACTGTGTCAAGTTCTTACCAATCACCAGTCACTGAGATTTAAACTTAACACAGGTTTTCAGTAGATGCAACCGTGGTATTGATTTGAAAATTCTACGCAATCACAAACTTGGGTGTCCACATCATCCCGCCATTCAAACACATCAATCAAACAAATTGAGGGAAAACTGATTAAATAGTTTGCAACATTCCTGCACATAAATCTGCATTTGCTCTACTAAAAATAAGCTTTTACTGACCATCAATCATAGCATTGGTTCAGGCAGGCTCAGCCACAATCATGGCCAGTGAGCTAACCTCATTGCCTGTGCCAGTTGATACTCTTCTAAACATCCAAATGGCAATTCTTACATTGGGAAAGGCATTAAAACTGATTTAGCCAGCCCACAGGTGCAACCATCCTGCAAGCGGCTTTGTAACCCACCTTCACCCTGTCAGCCACAGCAGAAAATTAAGCATCACTCCTGGTCTCATGTTCTGTGCTGAGACAACAGTTCATCCAATCCAAGAAACAACACCAAATGACCAATGTTGTAGCTGTTTACTATCACCAGGGGGCAGTGACACAGACAACCAGTCTGTGGACTACTGCTTGTGCCACTTTTGGTCGTTCATCCAGTCGTGGAAATGAGTGAAGTTAACATAAAAGAACTGAAACAGGGTGTGCCCACTAAAAAACTTGGTTTTCGTTCCCGATGGTGGGCCACCAGGCTGTGCTTTTCATGCCGTTTTTGTTTTTTATCTTTGATTTTTTTGTGCTTCTGTTTTCTGTTTATCGTTTAGTTTTCAACCACACAGGGAATCAATGTCGAGCTGTGTGCTGCTGGTTTGCGTGGACTAATACACACGCAAATGGCTGCAAGTCCTGCATTAGGAAGGTAAGCGATTGTTTTTGATTGCCAATGCTGAAATCCAGTGCTCCAGCACACAACTACGTATAGTTTCAGGCTATGGAGCTGATATTTTTAATCCAACATAAGGACAGTGTTGGAAGATCCTTTCAGACAATTTACTTACTCACATTTCCAGCCACTCTTTTGGTTGTACGCCTAATGAAAGTCAAAGAGGAAACCCTCAGCACATCACTAATTCGGGTATGTTGTTGCCAAAGCCCAGACTGTGGCTCTGAACTTTAACAACATTCAACAAAAAAACCCTTTCTGATGTCTATCGGAGTCTCAGTGCTGTTCATAAATGGTACTGGAGACTGGAGATGATCGGTGTTTGACGGCATAGAGTCTGTTCTTCAAAGAGCATTAAACTGGAGTCTTTGCCAGCAACGACGAGACCATATGATGCGTAAGTATACAATTTTCCCACAGTATTTATGAGAATGGTGAACTACCCTCATACCTTTTTTTTCCATGTGCAACCAACTAATGTAAAAAGTCAATAATAAATATCATATAAAGTGAATATGTAGTGATTTTTGGCTTGGCTTAACTGCTGGGTACATTCACCAGTAAGGTAGGGTATGCATACAGCCTGAAAGGAGAATCCCAGCTAAAGCTTTAATGGGAATATCAAGATCACATCTGGATTATGGCATCAGGACAGTTCAGACCAACAATGTGAGATTTTAGCTTGAAAATAAAGGTAAAATATTAAAATGATTACAATTAAGTAACAGTAGATGTTTAAAATTATATAACAGATGACTTTTTTGTGTTATATTAATAAGTGTTAGCCTTACCTCATAGATTCCTCCAAACAGAGACATAAACTTGCTGAGGAGAGCTGCACACAGACTGGCAATGTGCACAAAGGGACCCTGACAGGAGGAATAAGGCAGACAGAAATCAGGTTAAAAAAAAATTACAAATTAAGGAGCACTCTGGGTTCCTGTTTATTGTGAGTCAGTCACACAAGACAACACAACTCTTTGAAAACACATCAACAGAGAGAAAGTCAGCGGGAATATTAACATTCAGAGTATGAGGTTCAAAGTGGAACTAACAGGATTAAAAGTGAGAGCAGCAGAAAAGTGACGCTCAATTTAAAAGGCAGCGAGAGGCCTGCTCTGAATCTAAACGCTGGATGTTGCTGCAGTGCTGTGCAACCAGAAGGGCCTGAGGGCTGTTTGTGTGCACAAGTGTTAGGAAACAGTGTTTTCCTGCAAGAATGTCTTCAGGCAAGGCTGTCTTTGTGGGTGTAGGAAAAACCGTAAGTAAAATTTTATTTCTATAGCACCTTTCAAGACAAAGATCACAAAGTGCTTCACAAAGAAGTACCAGAGCATTTAAAACAAAAGAAACAAAAAGTTAACCAAATGCATTTCCAAAAAGTTGAGTCGACACCTGATCTGTTTTTGCTACAAAAAACCTGAAAAATACTCAGCGATATAAACAACATCTGCGTCGTGAAGTAAAGGGATGTAAATATTCCCAGAAAAACAGTCTTCTCTCTCCCAGCTGGATCAGAAAACGTCCCTGTACCTTCCTACTTTCTGTCACCTGAACCCAAGGGATGATGCAGGGATGTGAATGAGCAGCCAAAGGTTCATGTGCTGTAGTATGTGAATATACAGAGAGATTTAAGGCAAGTCGTTTCACAACACATCCTACCACTGTTCAGACACCTTACTGTGACCTACGTGGGTTTCTGACAACCAGTAATGATTTGAGTGGAAGCTCGTCTTCTGAAGCGATGCTTAATGTTTAGTTTAAATGTTGTAAAAGCCGGCATTCAAAGCTGAAAGGGCCCAGCTGCTAGCGAAGGCTCTGTATCACAACACAAAGGTTCAATGCTGTGAATCACTGAAACTGTGCTAGTAAACAACAAAAGCAGAATGTGGGTCAGCGCTTGGGTTTCGCTGAAAAGTAAAAAGAGAAACTAGATTGTGTCTCATAAAGGTAGCGATAAAGACATGGCTGTCCGTTTCTGTCCTACAAAGAAAAAACATACTAACTGCACTTCTGTTCAAAACAAATTTGACATCTTAACTTATCTTACTAGAAACTGTTAGTCTTCACTCTGTGCAAACATACATATAATACATGTATTTGACCATTAAGCTTTCTTGTCATTTCTTTAAGCGGTCTTCAGGAATAGTTCTCCAGGCTTCTTGAATGACAATCAAAGCTCTTCTTTAAATGCTGGCTGACTTTTATTTCACTCTCTCTGAAGATGATCCCTCACTGCTTCAATAATGTTGAGGTATAAGCTGTGAGGACTCCACCAAATGTCAAAATCCCCAAGATCACTGGCTGCAATGCAGCCCCTAACCATAACAGACCAGTTACCACTGACTTTCAGTTAAGTTCTTGCGAAATCTGGCATACGTCAGCCTTTTCTCTCTGTTTCCCTTCTTTAAGAATAGCCTCTTGACTGGCACTCTTCTACTGAGACCACTTCAGATGAGGCTTCAGTGAACGTTAGTTGGATCAATTGAAGGGCCAGATGCATCTCTCAGGTCCTGTGTCAGAGGATTTTTTCCTATGTCTTAAGACATGACTTTCAGATACTGTTTATCGGGTAATTTTGTTAGGCCTGCCATTTCTTTTGTCCTTCACCAATTTTTTAAGGACACACTACACACTGTGCTTTAGAAATTACCTGGTGCAAAAATTATATTTTATGTCTGACAAACTGTGTTACCTTTGGCATTTTTCATAGATTCAACTAAAGAAATGGGATCAAATTAAATGTTTTTGTGGCAGGCTACTAGTAATAAAGTGCCAACACACACATACAGTTATGTCATGTCTGTTATGTGTAGACAGACCACTAGTTTATCCCTTGGGTTAGCAAGGTCAGCAGCTTAGCAATCAAAAAAAATATTCCTATGAAAATAGTCCATTATCAGGACTGGAAAGAAAATGAGTGAAAAACCAGCGAATTTCCAACAATAATATTTGAAAGATCGTCAGAAAGCTAGAGAACTATTGCTTATGACCACTTTAAAAATTATAAGAATGTTTAGCTCCTTGGAAGCAAAATATAAAGAAATGAGAGGTGGCTCAAGACTTTTACACAATGCTGTATGACCAGTTCCACAAAACAATAGTAACAACCTACAATAACTGTAATAGCAGGGAATTTCCAACAAGAGCAGGTTTTTCCTCATGCAGAATATTATTAGTACTTCTCTGAACTCTTAAGGTAAGACTTCTAGTCTATAGATTATCAACAGCTAAAGTGATAACTGACCATAGTTAAAGCAATAGTTAACAACTTACTTTTTCCAGTTTATAGAAATAGAAAGCTCAATTTTGCTCTAAACCCTTAAGAATTAATTTGTTATACAACTGAAAAAACAAACAAAAGTAAAGCCAATACCAAAATTATATTGGAGAGAAACGTAACACCAGACAGAATAGTCTTGCTAAAAGCTAACTAGCCTAGATTAGTAAACTACCAGTAACTACAATCTCGGCCAGATTAATGAGATATTGATTTACCTTTTAGAAGCAAAAATGTATTCCACCTTTTATTTTTAATTCGACCGTATAATTTGCCTAAGTAGGTATAAAAATGTTTTAAAATGGCCTATTTTTGTAAATTAAAATGTTAGCTTAGCTAGGAGCCTTTAGAGCAGCGGTCCCCAACCCCTCGGACCGGTACCAGTCCGTGAGTTGTTTGGTACCGGGCCGC